CTCTTTTTTTTGGGGTTTTAACACGTACAAATTTTCAACCTTTTTGTCCTCTGACCTGCTTTTTTAACTGTTCCTATGGAAACCGGACAAAGAAAAGAGAACGGCCGTCACACGACGCCGCCGTTCCCATGTTTCTGTGTTTCATTTTCCTTCATTCGTATTCTGCCCCCTGGTGAAGCCGGGCGGTCGGTGCGAGTCTACAGGGTTAAATACATGCAGTACATCCTGAGTACATCCAGATACTTCGATACTTCCCAGTTAATCAGGAAATCCCCACACACCTACGACAGTATGCTGTAAAGACAAGTATTCTATAGTGATTTGTAGTTAGTGAACAGACGTATCCTTCCTCCGCAGGTTTTACCGCAGGTTTTACCGCGCAGAATGAAATCCTTTATTACACTCTCTGCTTCACAGAACAATCAGATTAAACATGTTATAAACGTTTAGTACTCAAACCAAGTCTGTGTGTGTGTGTGTGTGCGCGTGTGTGTGTGTGTGCGTGAGGTGTGTTAAGATGTTTCACATATGGTCAAGACGCAATCACACATATTCACGTGACAAAAGGCTGGACATTGGAAACACAGTTACATATTTTGATTAAAAATAAAAAAAATGTTTTTAATTAAAGTCGCTCTCTGTTGATTTTTCACTCACGCAGAAGCAAGGAGATTTCTGGGTAAAAATGTTTTCATCACGTGACCTTTTTATCGGTTCTATTTTCTTTTGTAATGTATCGACATTGATTTCCAATTTCAACATTTTCGACGATACATTTGCACTTTAAATATATGTGTAAATCAAACGCATATATGTATAAATAAACCTTACAGCAGGTTAGGGTGATAAAGGGTAAAAAGTGAACCAGACTACTAAAGGGTGTTTTGGGGAGCAAGTGTGGATGAGGGAGTTATGTTCAAAGACTATGAGAAAAAAAACTGACATGTGCAGTCTGAATGACTGATGGGTTTGGAAAGTTTCCGTCAGATCTCAGCTCTGTGCCTCTTCTCTGTCGTATTGATAATGGATCGTTCCAGGGCAGAGATCACGGGTGAAGCTCCTTAAACAGTAACAGTGACCACTTCCCTTTTGGAGGTCTGGAGTGGCTCCCAGTGATGTCATCATCTGAATAACTTCCTGATTGGTGGCACTCCTGAGGTTTCCCCCTGACCTCAAAAGCAGAAACAACTGTGTGATGATGTGACTCCTGGATGGAGTAGTGAGACTAAAAAAAAATCTTACACTAAAGCAATACTAAAATGTTAGCTAACGCTGTTCCCATCCAGGCATTAGCTTCCATCCGTCTCACCTGCAGGTGGTGCTACAAATACAGTTTGCGTTTCCTGGGTTGTTAGCGCTTACGGCAAGAGTATTAGGTTCATATTGAGAAATAAAAAATAAATAAATAATGAGATTAAGGTTGTGGATTTAGGAGAAAAAAGTCGTAATTTTATGAAAACAAAGTCGTAAATTTACAGGAGCTACGTCTGTCTTATAATCTACAACAATCTCATGATTAGAAATCAGACTTCTTGTCTGTTTCCATCTCTTTTTGAAGCATTTTTGTCAGATCCAAATATTTCCAACATCAAAGTCTTAAAAGAATACACCTAATTGTATTGGTGCGGGCAGCAGGGGGAGCCGTTTTAAAAATATTTATCAGAAGATGTAGATTTGTAATGAAGCTCAGACGTAACCAGGTGTTTGTTGGATCTAAAATTAGCTCGTCCTCGTGTCCTTGGCCGCGGCGGAGTTTTGTTTTTTTTCCACCAGGAGTCAGCATCTGCGTCTCCGGCTGTTTCTCGGCCTCGTCACTGACTGTAGAAATAAAAGCCCGAGCGTGTTCTACAACATGACAAAAGCTGCCTCAGAGGTCACGATCTGTCACAGCCTCAAACACGGGCAGCTCCTCTCTTCCACTTCCTTCTTTTAAATCATTGAAGCCGAACAGAACGTGGGAATTTCCTTTGAGGTGACAAAGTCCTTCCACAGAGAAGCGTACACAAACGCATTGTGTTTGGAAGAAGTGCTCCCGACCGACAAGCGCCGCAACAAAAGAACAAGCGTCGTGATGGAATGAGGAAGAGATTTCCAGCCAATAAACAAACCCTGCCCCAGAGTTTTAATGAGGGGAAACCAGTTTGGTCTAACGAGACACCTGTAACGTGATAGGCCGAGCCCAGTGTGTGTGTGTGTGTGTGGGGGGGGGGGGTGGGAGGGGCAAAAGAGCTTTTAGATCCTCTGAACCCTGACCTTTGGTCTTCATGTCACTGCAGATTAAAACACTTGGTTTTATAACCAGTTCAACAAGGAATTCATTCTTGACCTCTTTGACCTTTGCATTTAAACAATGCCAACAATTTATGCCAAGGTCCAATAAATAAATATATATATATATATATATACATATATACAGTATATATACTGTATATATGGATGAATTTAATTTTTCATAAAAATGTAACCTTAGTCTGTCTTTAAAAAATAAAACTACGGAAATACAGTGAATAATTAGCTATTATTTATATTTAAAATAATTACCAAAAAAAAAAAAACAGGTTTTGTGTACGTTTTTCTAACTTTCAGCATTATCTGATTTTACCTTCAAAATAAACACAATAATTTATGCTACAAATCTAAATTGTTGCAAAGGTAATTACAGTTTAGCTAGTTCAGCTAGTTAGCTAGTTAGCTAGCAGTAGCTAAACGCAGGCTCGTGCTCTTCACCTCATACACACGTGTTATCGTTGAGTTTTTTTTTTTAATGGATAAAACTGAGATGATAAAAAGAAAACGTTCAAAACTAAATTGTTGCAAAGGTAATTACAGTTTAGCTAGTTCAGCTAGTTAGCTAGTTAGCTAGCAGTAGCTAAACGCAGGCTCGTGCTCTTCACCTCATACACACGTGTTGTCGTTGAGTTATTTTTTTAAAAAATGGATAAAACTGAGTGGAGATGATAAAAAGAAGAAGTTCAAATGTCTGAGTTGAAGCTTTGATACGTGAGACTTTTTTCTCTGGTGACTTTTGAACGTGGCATCGTTGAATGATGTGAATGATGTGTGAGACCCTCATGGACTGGGTGAGGAGGGGGGGGGGGTATTCAAAGACCTTTGTTACAGGTCAGAAGACCCCGTTCTATCTTGAGTGAAGTCTGAGGTGAGTCAGGAAACTCAGACTTAAATGTTAGTTAGTGTTGATATGAGAGCTGAATACTGGAAAGTCCTCCGTTCGTCTGCTGGTAACTTCCCAGATGAACACAAAGGCCTTCTCCTTCTTTTGTTTGTTTTTTTTTTTGTTTTTTTGTTTTTACAATTTTCATTTCTCCCATCTACTGTGTTCTCTTTTCTCACTTCCTTGGAATGTTGACTTTGTCACTTTTGCTTTCTGGTTCTGCTTCCTTCTCTCACTCACTCACTCACCCGTCTGTGGTTCAGGTAACAGTTTGTCTTCTGTCGTCTTTGTCACATTAGTCATTCAGTTACCGCCGTTGGGAAATAAAAAAAAAAAAGCGTCACCTGTCAGTACGTTGTGTTTTTTTCCCCCCATTCATTTCATTAACTAATTATTTGGACTTGTGATGTCACTACACATCCACACGTGGACAGGAAGTTCCTGTGTTGTGGGTTGTGCTGTGGAACATAAATATCGACCTCAGCCTGAGAACAAACTCACAGCATCTTCTCACATCACAGCTTCAACTTCATCACTGAGCCACCGCGCCGTCTGTCAAGGTACGTTCTGCTGCCGAGAGGAGGAGAGTACATTCAACTTCAAATCCTGACTACGGTCGGAATTCTGTTTCTAAAATTTAAGGTCAGAGCGTTTGTTATTTTAAACAGATTTTTTTCTTTTTCTTCTCACAGTAAAGTAAAAAAAGACTCCAGTTAAAGTGACTTTAATTTATTTTATGATTTATGTCCAAATGTTGAGTCTGTGTTGATTTTAGGTCAGTAGTTTTAATGTTTTTTTTTTGTTTTGTTTTTTATTGTTGAAGCCCAACTGTTAAAGGATTAATGTTAAAAAAGTTGAGGTTATAGAATAAAATATGACTATGACTTCTGAATCTAACGACAGAATTAAGAGCGTATTTTTTCAGTCAATATTTTTGGTCAAATTCGCAATTAAGGCCCAGATTTATTAAATATTAAATATTAAAAAAACCCTAAACTCTATATTTTATATATTTTATTTTGAAATTCTGACAATATTCACATTACATTATAATATTATTATAATAATAATAATAATATATTCTGACTTAAATCTCTACTGACTGATCTGATGAAACATGAAAATAAAATAAAGTTTTCTTTTATTTTCTTAACATCTAAATTAAAGAAAGTTTAATTTGTTTTTTGTTAGAATAATAATAACAAAATAATTTTTTGGAAAGTTTTGGATCACAGTGAAAACCTAACTTTTTGTACTAACTTCTCCTTCTCGCTCTCAGATGATCGCCTTGTTCCTACTGGTTCTTTACTCCACTTCCTGCGGCGTCCACTCTGAAGGTCAACACGTCCACATCGAGCCGCTCACGGACAACGGTTCGTTTCAGCCTGGTGTCACGTGATTCCATGTTCTGCTTTTTTCAACAACGCTGCAAATTCAGACTCTCACGTCACGTGTTTTTACAGTTCTGGTCCTGAAGGTTCTGTCCGGCGTGGACAACAAGGTGTACGTCCCCCTGACGTGTGGAGCGGCCTATCAGACTCAGTCTGTGTTTTGGAAGAAAGATGGTGAGAGAACTACAAAGTTCATTCTCTCTGTTAGACGTAGACACCTGGTACACGTCTCTCATTGGTCGGGAAAGAAGCCAGTTCACCACTGGGTCGAATCCTATTCGTGAGAAAAAAAAAATCAATTTCTTCAATTTCATTTTCTGTAATAGTAGTAGAGGACAGGTCTGGACTGCAGGCAGGACAGTCAGCAGCAGTTAGCTCTTTGTACACAGATTACTATTGGCTACAAAAATGAACTGAACTTTATTTTAACTGTTATAGAACCAAGGAAATAAAACCATTATTTCACCTTTTCCCTTTATTCCCATTCGGCCACAGATACAGAAAATACCAAAATAGAAATTCACGAGCCTTGTTCTGTGTCCGTCCTGCAATAACTCTGCGCCCCATAAAGGGGGTCCACCCCCACTTTGAGAACCACTGGCATAGACCCAGACCTTGGTGGATGCTCCCTGTACATCAGGTTGTAATAATGATGAACGAAAAAACAAATTCATCCACTAACTGTTGAACCCGCCAAGGTTTTTCTGTTACTTTTGTGACTTTATAGTTTGTTATTATTTTTCTATCATTATTCAACAGATTGAATTCATTTTGTCAGTGAAAATTTTAACTTTGTTAAATCATGGATGTTTTTGCTTCACCCTCTCAGGGATGGAACTCGATCCTCCTCTGCAGGGGAACCAGGTGAGGGTCCTGGTGGAGCAGATGGACGGGGGTAACTACACCTGTCACCTCGGCCCTGACGGACAGTACCTGAACCACACTGTAATCCTGGTCCAGATGGACTCAGACAACAGGAGCCTCATCCTGGAGGAAATGTCACCAACGGAAGGTACGATAAGACGGACGGATTCACAGAGAGACAAACACAGAGAGGGGAGGGAGGGGGACAGGGGGAGGACAGATGTCACTGGAGGCCCGTGATAAGATGAGGTGTGAGACGGAGATAAGATGGAGGAGAATAGATGGCAGGGCGCGGGGCTGTGGCCCAGAGGCAGAGAAGACTCAGATAAGGTGAAGAGTGGGACGTGAGTGAAGTGAAGGAGGACGACAAGTGAAAAAAAAAAAAAAAAAACGGGGAAAAAAGAATGGTCCCTGAATGCACCAGGACACAGAAAAACTCATAAAAAGAAAAAGTGAGTTTGTTTATACATGGAATTTTACAACATTTGGAATCCGAGCCCTGACATTACTGGCTGTATTTTTGTTCCTCTTGTTGTTTAAACTTCTCCTTCTCCTCTTCCTCCTCTCTCTCTGCCACTGCAGCCGTGAAACTATTGTTTTCCTCCTGTTGTTGTTGGTTGTGGGGCTCCATGATTGTTGGCATCTGTACGGTCTGGTTACTGCCTCCTTCTGGATTCCAGCTGTTCTTGTTCTTTTCCCCTTCTCTTTCTGCATTCCTCTTTTGATGTGGTTGGAGCTTCCCTTTTTTTAAAGAGGGGAAAAGGGAAGACAGCACAATAGCTGGACTGCACTCAGGTTTTAAGGACAATTTGCAGTTGGATAAATGAACAGTACCAACTTTGACGCAAACAGCGTTGACTTTTATCCAAAATTTCCAAATAATCGGGAAGTTCTGTGGCTTAGAGTAAAGATAATCGAACAAGAAGTTCCTGTTTTAACTGTCCGAATTCTTCCGATGTTTTTAATGAGAGCCAGTGACACAAATCGAGTGTCCGAATTCTTCCGATGTTTTTAATGACCTTTAATGACCAAACCTTTAATTATTTTTGCTGTTGCTCATTTTAACCACTAGATGTCACTCTCTTAAATATAGGAGAAACGGCAACAGTAAAATTGATAAGAATATGAGAAGCAGCTGCGTAAACGTGATGCATGCTGGGAAACTATATCGTTTTTTGCCGCGGTGCCAGGTGTGATTTTATTGATATGGACGTAAGTATCGGTGTTAAATGAAGACTATTAAAGAACGAAATTATTCTTTTAAAGCGTGTGACCAAGAGCTATTCAAAAGTAATTGTATTTCGTTCTATTTAATTTAGTTATATCTACAAACTTTTACTAACGGCTGAACACTGCTAATAGGCTACATGCTATCTAGCTGGTCAGGCGAAGCTGTTTAATGAAGCCGAGTTTGTGTTGAAACTACATTTAGCTTTTCGTAAAAAAGTTTTTTCCGAGCCTTTATTTAATTCCAGCCACTTCTTAGTTGTATTTGTTTATTTATTTTATTATTTCTATTTTTGTTATTATACACTCTAGCTGCTTTGGACGGATACCAGTACTTTTTATGGTAGTTGTATTTATTCTGGGTAGCTTTACGTAGTATTTTCAATATTTTTAATTTTTTTTATTTAATTTATTTAATTTGTCATTTCCCTGTTTGCAATTTTGACATACTTGACATTCTGTCCTTACTTTTCGTTTGTCAATTTTGCCTTTATTGTTAATTATGTTTTGTCTGCTTCTTGCTGTCTTGTTATCTTACATTTATTGCCTTTATTGTTAATTATGTTTTGTCAGCTTCTTGCTGTCTTGTTACATTTTGCTATTTCTGAGATATATTTCTACTAGCTTAGCGCTGCGTTTTTGTTGTGCATTTAAACAGAGAGAGGCGAAGTGTGTTGTATATTTTACAAAAAGTAATATCTAATAATTTAATTTTCTTTCTTTTTCTCAGGTCACATCCACTGTTCAGCACCAAACTACAAAGGTGATTTTCACTGCACTTGGAAGAGAACACAATACAGATCTCATGCTGCTGTGCTGCTGGTAAAAGCCATTCGGTGAGGACGAAAAACCACTTTCCACACTTATTATTCACACCTTTTCCTGTAGAAACCAGAGTCATTATTGTTCACAGTGCACTCCCCAACCTCGTAAATGTAGAGGAGAGACAGAACCACTGGACACAAATTCATCCGTTATTGTTTTCTCTTCAATACAGCAACTTTGAACAGATCCCGTGTCAGCTGGATGCTGACGGATCAGGGGTTCACTGTCAGGATGTCAACTGTCCGTTCAGAGAGGAACAGCTGCGCATCTATCTCACCGTGTACATCCACAGCTTTTCTCGCCTGGAGGTCTACACTAAGGTTTTCTACCTGAGGGAAATTGGTGTGTAATTTTTATCAGCATTTTGAAGTAAGAAAATGTAAATCCTCAATGCTAATCTTTCCTTTTTATTATTATTATTATTTCAGTAAAACCATCAAAACTCTCCAACCTCCACCTTAGTGATGGGAATGTGTTCAGTTGGAACTACCCAGACTCCTGGGAGACCCCACGGACCTACTTCGCCTTGCAGTTTCAGGTCAAAGTCATCAATCACGGACATCCCTGTAACACTGAAGAGAACGTAGCGGTAATTAAAACACTAATATTAATAAAGGCAGATTAGATTCTGGTGTTAAACATGACTAAATAATCTGTCGACCTCCATTTCTTTAAAGTAAAGTGACTTTTTTCCCCCACTTTTTCCAGCTGCACAACATCACTGAGGACACAACCTACAAAGTGGACGTCCAACGTAAGAGGTACATTTTCTGTGTACGAGCTCAGGACAAGTACACAAATGGACCATGGAGTCACTGGACCCACTGCACGTGAGTATAATCACATACAACTTGGTGATTTTGTACCTGAAGCAGTTTTATTATATATATTTTTAATTGATTTATTTCCACTCTCTCCTCTCTGCAGAGTGAACAGAAACAAGGTTCAGTGCTGAGGTTTTACACTGCCATAACAGAAGAAAATAAAATAGATGATGTGCACTTGAATAATGGATGTTAAGCTGTATAGTATTTATTTTCTATATTGGATGTTAAACTGTTAAATTATTTTTTTACTTCAAAATAAATCAATGATCATCACGTGCGGCGTCGCTCGTTTGGCTTTCTGTATCGCGTTTCACAAACACTTAACTAACGAAGTAACAAGTGATTGAATAGATTTGCAGCAGGTTAGGGTGATAAAGATCAAAAATGGAAAAGTGCCAGTGAGGAATTTGGAAAAAGATGTTTACATGAGACCACATCAGAAATGAACCTATCCGAGGGCCGGGTGAGGGCACAAACCAAACAATCACTACAGGAAATTCAGGTAGAAAAAAAAGCTTTATTGTTGTATTTACAGCCGTATTATGAGCAGCAATGTTGTAAATGAGATGAGGGAAAGTTACGTCAAATCACAATAAAAAAAAGAAGGAAACTGTGTTGTTTTCCCCCAATGTTTTTCTCCTAGTGAGCGAACACGTTAAGCTATTAGAAAACTGCACTTTGTGGTCACTTTTTTCCCTCCTCCCTATGTGTAATAACCTAAACAGTAAAAAAAAAAAAAGTCTAAAATTCACATAAAAAAACAATAACTCTACAACAGAAAAAAACAAACAAAACAAAACTTTACAGGTGTCCGTGAGACCAGCGTTGCAGCAGGAGGGACAATAAACATCTGTCAAATCAATGTAAACATGAGATTTATACCAGATTCAAACCATCTGTGAGAACATGGATTTTAATGGATGCAGATCTGACTGGAGTTATTGTTCCGTAGAGACGACTTGTACAAAGACCAATGATTTCATGAAACTGTCACCAATTGCAGTAAAACAAGCTCTAAGATTCTTGCATATGATGTATGAACTGAGACAGTGATCACTCTTCACCACCAATTGCAGTAAAACAAGCTCTAAGGTTCTTGCATATGATGTATAAACTGTTACAAATGTAATGACAGTAGACCAGAAGGAACTGAGACAGTGATAACTCTTCACATGTGTTCATGCAGAACCTCACCAACCCACTAGAGGGCAGACAAACTAGTTTTTGAGGAAAGGTTTTGAAGAAGACCTGACCTGATGCTTGTGATTTCTGACCAATAAGACGTCACCAAACAGTTGAGGGATGTGTTAAAGTTACCAAGGTCTGTTCAAGGTCACCTCTGAAAAACACGCAGCCACGTCTGCATCCTGAGAACTGGCTCCACTTCTTATATACAGTCAGTATTTTAGTATTTAACTGTGTAGGATTTCACTGGTCAGAGACTGCCTCTCCCCCTCTCTCTCTCCCTTTATCTCCCCCTTTCTCTTCCTATGTCTTAGTACAAACTCAGTACAAACAGTGATGAAGTTTGTGTTGTTGTTAAATGCAAACAAGATTAAAAAAAAAAAAAAACCCAAAATCAGTCTGCTCATGAGTCAGATGAAGATGACAAGCACGTGTATCAACTTGGAAGCCCTGCGTGTGTGTGTGTGTGTGTGTGTTTCTGGCTGCAGGATCTGCAGTGAAGTTGGAAATGAACTGTTAATCACCACAGTGAGTTTAGGATGAGCCTGAGAACATGATGACGGAGGGATGGAGGCGTCCAGTCACAGTCCTGGTTGTAGGAAGAGTCTCAGTGCTGGTGCTGCTGCTTCTTGGATAGGTACCTGCAAACACACACACACGTTGAAGTTAAATCCGAATGCTAACTTTCACCAGTTTGATTTTGGACGTCTTGTTGTGCTGTCATTATAAGCTCTGGCTAAACTTTAGCTTAACTTTGATTACAATTCCAGCTAATGAAGCTAAACTGTAGCTATATATTTTGTTATCTTAGAATATTTTTGAGCTTTTTGCTCAAGTAACTAACTTTGAGGTTTCTCGCCATATATATATTGGCTAACTCTTAAGTGTAAATTGTTTTAGTTCGAGTTTTTAAACTTTTTTATGAGCTAGCATTTTAATTTTGTATTTGTTTTTTGTCACGTCTAACATTTTGTTTGGTCAACTTAGCTATCGTGACGATATTTTTTGGGCGATGGTTTTTCATTAGAACTGCATGACGTATTATTTTTATGATTAAAATATTGTACGACAGTGTACAACTGCTGCTAACGTGGTAGGAGAAGTGAAGAGACTTTTACAGATGTTCAGACGTGCGCTGACCTTTCCCAGTGTTTATGGTTGAGTCCACTGAAGTCTTCAAGTTTGGCTATTTCTTTAAGGTACTGAGCCAGTTTATAGAGCTCTCGGTCCTTCTCTCTGTTCAGGTGAGCCTTCATGAAGGGTCGGATCTAAAAGACAAAACATATTCAGTGTTCTGCAGCACAAGTGTGTAGGAACAGGAAGAACATGAGAAGGTCAAACATAATATATAATAAAAGAACAAAGTTGGTTCCCTGCCTTTAGTCCATTCTGTGGGTTCATGAGGAAGTTCCGTCCAATGTCGTCAAACATGATCGTGTTCTTCCTGTTGTAAAATTCTCCATACTTCCCCCATATGACACCTAAGGGCTTCACCTGGAGATCAGAACACAACTATTTCAGCTCTGACGTGACATCACCTGTGGTTTAGTTGTTCATGTTCAAATAATGAAACAGAAAAACAGGTGTGGGCCTGAACCAACCTCAACAACTCCTCTCTTTGGAGTGTGAACTGTGATCATGGCTGCACTGTCCAACATGAACGTGATCTTGTAGTTGGGGTTGTCTGTCACCCCCAGCTCCTACACACACACACACACACACACACACAAATACACACACAAATACACACACAACAGTAGGTCAGGATGACTTTGTCTTTCACTCTTTAGCCAAACACTTTCACCTAAAATTGATTAACACTGCCACCTTTTGACAGAAAATGGTAGGGTAAAACAGCTCACAGAAAGCAAACTATGCTCACCTTCATTTTGGCATCGATCCACTTCATGCTGGTGGCAGCTAAAGAACAAAAGCATGTGGAAAAAATTACGCAAGGGGAAACTCCGTCATGTAGAATAAAATGAAAGTAAAGACGTACACCAAATGACTATGTCGTAATCCTCGTAGGCTGACGTCAGGAACTCGTGAAGATAAGGTCTCATCAGCTCCAAACCTGTCTCTGCACAGGATTTGTGATCTGCAAAAGCACACAGCACACAGGTGTCAAAGTAAAACTGACCTGGATGTACCGATATAATACAAATGCTATTTTGGGCTAACATTTAGCCCCATAAGCTAAATTTGATCTATTTAGTTCCTTGTGTAATTGCTATAAATAATGACAACAAAAAAAAAAATCACAGATGTCAACATGACAGTAACTCACCAAACAGTGTGTAATCCACATCCAACACCAGCAGCCTCTTCCCTTCTCTTGGAGGATTCATCTGCTCAACCTTATAGTCTTTGACTCTACGGGCAATTTTAGCCAAGTTCTCCTCCCTGTGAACCAAGATACACGTTATCATTTAAACACAAAGACACTGATTTTGAATTAATCTTCTGCATCAAAAAAAACAACAAACAAAACAAACATAAATTCACCTGTTCTCCACTATGATCACCTCCTCCTCAATGTCAAAGTCATTGATGACGTCGTCGTTCTCGGGGGGAGGGGCTAAGACATCCTCCTTCATAAAAGAAAACACACGCACGATTATTACTGGCAGAGTTTGGTCATTTATGACCAAATGCATCCTAACAATTTATCCTCTGACGTTGTCACTCTTACTAATCCACCTACCAGACTCTCCTCTCTGGTTCCCATCATCATGATCTTGGTGTTAGGCTTCAACTTCAGAGAACCTAATTTCACCTCATCTTCTGCGGGTTTACCTAAGAAGAAAAACTAACATTGAAGGTGCAAATAATTTTTTTTATCTTTATCCCATTGTTATCTGTTTTTTAAGGCTGTTTAAGAAGTTTTGTAAGCCAAATTTTGCAAAAACAATAATGCTAGCTTCTTAAAATGATTTTTAAATTTTTGTAATTTATATAGCTTTGTGATTGTTGCAACACAAATCACAAACTGAACTGGGAATCCTGTGACACAAACTGACACTGTCTCCATCACATGCAAATGAACTCCGCTCTCACCTTTGACCTTTAGTCCCAGCAGCTTCTGTCTTTCCGGCAGGACCCCGGTCAGGCTCTTGATGGACTGTTTCAGATCCAGTACTGTGTCCTCCTCAGACAGGGAGCTGATGGAGTACTCCTGACCTCCCCACTTGATGATCACTGACACTGACATGACTGCTCACACACATGCACGCACTCACACACTCACAGAAAAACAGGACACACTAAACAGAGACAATGGAAATGGAAAATGAACAGGTGTTAAAATACAAACCTTAAAAACGGAGAGACACTGACGTCACGACTGTTTTCATCTGCGTGTTTTACTGTCTGCTGTCACGCACGCAAGTTAAATGTCCCCCAATCACAGCGACACACCTTAAACGATGTTGATATTTTTAGCATGACATGGCTAACAGTGATTCGCATAAATGAAAACAAAAGGGCTAACCGGGGCTAACAGCTAGCGTTAGCAGATAAATCAGCTCTGTTGACGTCACCTCACCTGACTTTAGGGAATTAACATGGAACTTTTAGTAGTCACAGTTAAATTTCGTCCAGAACTAAGAATGAATGAATGAACTTCTAGTTAGTCTGGAAGAAGCGAACACCGTACTTCCGGTCGTCCTAAATTAAAGCGGAAATGATGTAGGAGGAGAAAAAAGCTTTGTTACTATAATTATTACAGACGTAGATTCCAAAAGTGTTATACGAACTTAAGAAAGTAATTATAAAATTAACAATAAAACTTAAGGCAGGGTCTAACATTTTTCTCTTCTTTGTATGTAATTAAATAACAGGAAATATATCAATTTGTAATAACTCAGTAGTAACTGTTTTGTGTAACTTCCAGCACAGTTAAAGACAAAGACAAAGCAATTTAAAGAGAATCTATCGATGATTAAAAATGATAGTGTTCTGGCAGATGTACCACAGTATTTCGTATTCTCAGTGGCTAAATAAATATTACAAATGCACACGACGACTTTTCTTCTTTCGTCTTCTATTTTGGGATGCTACATTTGCATATTTTGTGTTAAATTATTACCACCCACCTAATATTTTACCTGAAAAAATGTTTTTTTACAGAAACATTTTACTACATGCATGGGATAACATCCCTGCCGATGAATGTAGTATTATATACTTCCAATGGCTTAATTGAATACATTGAATAGATGTATTTTATATGAGCTTATGATTTATTTATCATGAAATATCTGCATAATGCATGTTGAAGTAAAATTCGGGCTTTCAATCTCTTTTTTTTTTTTTTTTAACCGTGTCTTTCTTGAGCATGCGCGATTCGTGATTCTCAGCACTCAGGATAATGGCTGCGAGGTGAGAGGAGTGGATGGGCCGCATCCCTTCAGTGTGAGGCGCCTCCATCCAAAGTACCGTTAACTCGGGCGTCGCCGAGTTAAGATGGTCGATATCCGACCCGAAAAACACCAGGAAAACGCAGAACATATACTGAACACCGTCCACCAACGGTAAGTTACTGTATTTTTAGTAACTCGCTCGCTGCCGTAGTCAGCGGATACGCTACGGCAGGAGGAGGAGGAGGGCTTGTTGTGGGTAATCTTCATAAACCATTTTAACATGGCTGCTTTCAGGGCTATTCAAGTTCGTAGAGTTTAACTCAACTAACAGCGTCAGAACCGAGTTGACTTGGATCATTCTGTATTTCCGGTTGGGTTTTATGCGGGTCGTTGACAGCGGCTAATTTACAGCGATGCTAACGGTCAGCGTTAGCTTCGGATCTGTCGCCACTGCGCTCCCATTTACGCTCCATGACTGCCGCTAATGTTGTACATACAAAGTTCGGTGTTTAATTAATAAAACAAACTCCAAAAATATCTCCAATAATCTGTAAAAAAGAGAAAAAATCGATGATAACTAGTGCGGTAAGCCAACGGTGTTGTGCTGTGACTGTGGTGAAGCTAACGGCTGCGCTTCCTCCCAGACAAGACTGTAGAGGGGTTACTAGAGTTCATGTTTGACCACAATCGATGCAGCACTCGCTCATCCGTATAACAGTGTGGCGTTAAAGCCAGTGATGATGATGATGATGATGGCACAGCCAGACAGAAAACTCCAACCGTGGAACTACCGCGACAACATGTCTATACGACGTTAATGGATTAATGTTAGATAAAAATAGAGTTCCACCGCTGCGTTATGTAAGACTGGATTCTGCGACGTGATCTGTTTTTTTTTCTTCCAAGTGATGGAGGTGCTGTGTTGTTATATAAATCCTCAGGATCCTGCTGTCCTGAGCTGCAGGGATGTGATTACGATTGTCAATACAGAAGATGCAGCGTGTTTCAGACGTGTTTTTTGTGTCCACGTGTTAAGTTTGAGGTAGAAAAAGTGGGGTTTTTTTTCAGTGTTTGGAATAATGTAGCATCCACAGTCAGTTCAGTACAGAATAGTTTGATTGTTGCCTGAATACTACATAGACACACGATTTTAAAAAGCCACCCAACAGCAAATGTTGTTGTCAGATTAAAACTCCCAATCAGTTGATGTCATATTTAAAAAAAAAAAAAAAGATGAAATTCTTTCGCTTAAGTCTCAGTTTGTGGATTTGTAAACCAAACATGTTGTTACCTGTCTTTACCTTCCTCTTCTAAGTTGTCACATGTAAGTCTAGGATTCTGGAGTAATCAGGACTGGCTTAGGTGCCACTAAATCATACGCACTGCTCCTTTAATGTTTTGATGTCGTCCTGCTGCCAGGGCATCACTGTGCTTTGATTATATTTAACACAAAGCATTAAACTGTATGGGCCAACCAGGAGCTTCCGTGTCACCCTGTTTTCTTACATTTGTCATGGAAGTTAATATATCTTGTTAAAAATATCATATGTCAAAAGAGAAATCTCTATTCACAC